TATTTTTTATTCCGTTTTCGAATAATTTTTTGGGGAGGTGGGGGGAGGAGTAGTTTCAGCAAAAAGCATTTAAAAAATTTATAGATATGTATTGTATTATAATATTTATCACCCAAAATCTATATATATATATATATTTATTTAAATTTTCAATATATTATGAATAAACATCAAAATTTTTAATTATTAACGGTTTTTATCCATTTGAATTGAATCCATTTTTAATGATTTATTTCGTGCCTGAAAATTATTCGTAAGAATTTCCCTCAATTTTTGTGTGTACCTACGATGACTGAGTTTTCAAAACAACAATTGCATGTTATATAAATCAATTTTATAATTTTATTTTCTTTTTACAAATATTGTTTGACACGATTATATGTGACATGTTATAAAATATTTCAGCATTTGACCCCCCCCCCCCGAAAATAATTTAATTTAAATAAATATATATCGATGTTAGGGTCTCTAATAAATGATGGGCTTTAATTAAGTTTTGTTTTGTTTTGTTGGTATAATGTTTGTTTGGTTGGTACAATGCAATCAAAACTTTGAATTTATTTTAATTTTTTAATAAATGTTATTAATATTTTTTTTGTAATTTTAATTTGCATAAAATTATTTTAAAAAAAAAAACTTATGTATCTATGTATTTGATAAAAATTTATCTGAATTTTCTTTTTGTTTTGTTTTTTAGTTTATATGGCTGGTCGTTTTTATTTTATTTTATTTTTATTTTTTCGAAGAGAAAATATTGGGGATTGACATTTCATTGGGGAAAACTCTTCCAAGTTAATTGAAAGACCCTTTTTTTTTTTTTTTAGGTGACTTCAACCCATCTTCTGTTCCTTCCTTATTTTTCATCCCTTTCATTCAATTCTTCCTCCCGTCTTTTATTGCATTTCGCCTTTTCCATATCCATTCAATAACTTTTCTTTTTTTTTTTTGACCCCGATTTTTCATATGTACTTATCGTATGGGTGATGATGATGATGATGATGATGCAAATGTTCGATTGTGTGTCCCTTTAAAAAAAAAAAAAAAAAAAAAACCTTCCATTTTGTCCCCTAGGATTTTATTTATTTTAACCCTCCTTTCGGGATTGAGTCAGGCTTTATAAAACTTGTTGCTTTTCCGATTTCCTTTGAATTTTTTTTTTGTTTTTCTACTTTTAATTTTTTTTTTTTTTTTTTTTTTCATATTGATAATTATCTTATCAATTGTCAATGTGATTAGGTTGTTGTTGTTGTTTTTATTATTATTATTATTATTTGTCTTCCGGTATCGTTTTTTTTTTTGTTTTTAACTTTTGTGTGTTGTCAAAAATGAAATTATTAATTATTTAAAGATTTAAATAAGGAAAAAAAGGGGGGATGACAAATCAATATAAACGTAGTCGTTGATATTAATAATAATAATAAAAAACGAAACAAATTTTTGGCGGGAACTAAATCAGGAAATCAAAAAAGTTGTGTTCGGTATGTTGTGTATAAAAAATTTTTTTACGCCGAAAAGTGAGCGGGGCGGGGAAGTGAGGGGGAGGAGGGGGACGGGGGCAAGAAAATCGAATGGTAAAAAATATGAAAGAAAAATAAAAAAAATTAAAAAAAAAAGGTCGTGGAACTTGTGAAATATATAGTAAGGAATAGAAAAGGAAAAAAGAAATGGGATGAATAAAAAAAAAAAAAAAGTGGTAAAGAGAGAGAGAGAGAGAAAAAAAAAGTTTAAATTTTACGAAATAAGGAGAAAAATGAGAGAAAGAGAGAGAGAGAGAGAGACGTGTGTGTGTGTGTGTGTTCGAAATTTCCATGAAACGTTGCCAGGCAACGCCTTCTAAAAACGAATAAAACTGAGTTTGCGCTTCTTCTGTTTGTTGTTGTTTTTTTTTTCTCTCTCTCTCTCTCTATCTATCTCTCTATCTCTCTTTCTCTTCTCTTCGGTGGGCATGGATGAATGTTTTTCCATTCTTCGTTTTTCTTCCCGACAGTTTGTCGCCTTTTTTTTTTTTTTTTTGCAAAAAATTTTTTTAAAAAATTTAATTTTATTTTTTGATAGTATATAACTCGTTGTAGTATTTTTTACTCGAAAAAAAATAAAAATAAAATTGATCACATGGTAAATGAAGAAAAAATATTGATGGAAATTTATTTATTTTCAATTTGATTTTATTTGAATATTTTCTCATACATAACAGAGAGAGAGAGAGAGAGAGAGAGAGAAAGAGAGATAAGTCGTTTGAGGGTTTTTAATAAAATAAATAAAACAACAAAATTCTCATTAATCTAGAGTATTTTTTTTTAAAGATTAGGAGCCATGTTTAAATTTCATATCGTTTCGTTTGAAAATGCCCCTTTTTTTCATTTTTTTATTTATTTATAATTTTAGGCAATACAACTACCACCACCGCCGCCATCATTGCGGAAGTAATATGAATATCTACCTCGGTTAATATTTCTTTTCACGGGTTTAATATTATTTTTGAAAAAAAAAGAAAAAAAGAGCGGGTAATTCGTTCGTTAAAACTGTATTTTTTTTTTTTTTAAAAAAAAAGTTGTATCTATAGGATGCCAGGCCAGATAAAAGGATTTGGGATATAAGTTGGTTGGGTTGTTAAGTCATGAACGTAAAATGCGCGAGATGAGATGCGCAGTAACTGAAAATGAAAAAAATGTTACCGACACGTATAGAGTCCCTCAGTAAGAAGGAGTAATTTATTTTATTTTATTTTTAAAAATGAAAATATTCGTGTCTTCTGCTGCTGTTGCTGTTGTTTTTTTAAAAGTTTTAAGTAAGTTTGTCGGACGTTGGGTATCGAAATTTAAATTTAAAGACCTAAATTATTTACAAATCTAATACACTCCCCTTTCAAATAGGTGAAAATTTCTAATTAAATTTTTTTTTCGTGTAATAATACGTAAAGTCTCGGTTACCTTAATTCAAATTTTGTGTATATAACATTTTGTCTGAATTAAACGATCGTTATTAAATATATTATTATTATAAATTAAACATGGCGTTAAATACAACACGTTATAATTATTTTTAAAGAGTATTTTATTCAACTTTGGTTTTTTCTCTTTCTCACTTTTCTAAAGGCGTAGGCAGATTACATAAAACCGTTTAAAAACTTTGTTTGAAATTATTAACTTTAATAAATAGATTTTATTTTATTACGTCGCATTGTAGTATTTTTAGTTTTAAATAAATGATGATTACAAATAATTTTTGAGGGATGTTTTGTTATTAAATTTATTTATTTATTTATTTTTTGTTGTAGCGAAAGATCAGACGGGAAATTTTTTTTTTTGTGAAACTAGTTTAGCGTAGTGGTATTATATAAATAATGACTCCCTAGTATTCGGGGACTCTTATCCGTGAGTTTCTACTGCTATTTTAACCTTCGGTAATTATCTCTATTATAAGAAAATACGATTAGAACGTTGGTTTTACATTGGGAATGTAGTCTTTCGAAAAACATTTGTGTCGGTTCAATTAAAATTTAATGATAAAAAGAACGAGGTTAGAATGCTATTTCTGTTCGAAGCCAAGTTTTTTTTAATTTAACAAAGCTATGTGGGTATCAGCACGGAACGTCGGCGCAATGCTGCGTTGCCAACTCGTGCCAATAACGTCATTACGCAGAAAAAAAAAAAATTTTTTTTTTTTTGTTTCTCTCTATCAAAACTTTCCTTCCACGACTTTTTGTAGACTAAAAAAAAAAAAAAAAAAAACAAAGTTTTTTTTTTTTTTAAAAACTTTTTTTTTTTTTTTGGTATACTTTCCTTTGGTTGAACGTAAATAAATAAATAAAAAAAATAATAATTGTTTTTTGGATAATATTAATTGTAATTGTTAGACATTTTTTAAAAATTGAGGACATTTGATGTATATGTATAAATTTTAAATTCCTTCGTTTTATTTTTTCAAAACATAAATTTCGGGGTGGTAAATAAATTTAAAAAAGATAAATTTGAAAATTTTTTGAATTGTTACTTTTTATACACGAGTATTATTATAAATCTATATATATTTTATCGAAATTAAAAAAAGACCACTTTTGGTAGGTTGGTACACGTGGTTTTTGAAAAGTGACGCATTTATTGAAAAGAAACTGTTGACACATGTCGTTCATTAACAAATAAAACATTTTTATTTGTCTTTTTCCATCATTTTTTGCGGCGCGATTTTTCCTTTTTATATAATTTCGTTTGATTCTTCTTCATTTTTTTTTTTTTTTGTAGTAGATAATATTCGATCGGTTTGAGTGTTTTTCAGTTAATTAATTATTTTTAAAAACTTCCATTGCTTCCTTTATGCATTACATATAATAATAATAATACTAAACTCCTTTCGTTAATTTTTTTTTTTTTTTTTTTTGATTTGATTTTGATATTAAATTTAAAACTTTACATAATACATTTATGTTTTTTTTTTTTTTGTTTTACCTTGAATGATTTTCGTATCTTTGAAGCGATTGTGGTTTTATTTTCTATTACGCATCAATTTAAAAAAAAACTATAAAATTTAGTTTGCTATAAATAAATAACTTTTGTTTAAAAAAAAAAAAAAAAAACTAACTCTTGTAACTATTTACATAAGAATTTTTTACAAAATATATTTAAAAAAAGTTTGATTTATTTATTTTTTGTTGAATATTTTTATTAATGAAATAATAATTAATAAAAAGACCACATTTAAGTATATATATTTATATAATAATAATTATAATAAAAATAGAAAATAAAACCAAACGTGTATTTTGAACGTGTGAGTAACGCCTGAAATCTTGCGTTTAGATAATTTCAATACACTAAAATTTTTTTTTTTTATATATAGAAATTATATGGGATTCGATTTCTTTTTTTTTTCTTTCTTTTTTTTTTCGAAACGTTATTTATAATATTTTATATAACTCGTAGAAAAATGAAGATTTTAAATTTGAAACTTTTTTTAATTAATAAAAAAAAAATTTACATTAAATTAATAAAAATTTTACGAATATGGATGACGTAAGGAATTTCACGGTATGGTGAATCCAGGCACATGTGTAATGGCCCACTCTTTTACTCTTTGTAACAAAAAAAAAAAAAGTGAAAATAGTAAATAAATAAATAAATTTGTGTGATAGTATTTATAAACTCGTTTTGAAAAAGTTTCATTTTATTATTATTATTATTATTATTATTAATTTATTTATATGTGATATTAACATTGTTTTTTTTTTTTTTTTTTGTATTTCAGAGCCCTGACTTGATGGGGCTCCCTTCAGCGAATAAACGCAAACTTGGTGGTGGAGGGGAAGACGACGAAGGGCTTTTATCCTCCGCAAAACAATGTAAAAGTGAGGACCAGACGTGGGTGGCCGATGTACCTGGTCAAAATTTAAACTTACCAAAACCGTCCAAACCCTCCCGTCTTGAAGAATTAGCATCTGTTGCTCCGCCGGATTGGGCTGCTCAACGTCCGGCTCTATTAACGACTTTACTCGAGGATGATGACGAAGTGGACGACGAAGATTTCGACGATGAAGAAGAGGAACGAATAGAGGGAAAATATTTACCCGCTGGAAAATCATACTCTTGTAGGTATTCTTCGGAAGATTCGTGTTTCAATAATAAAAATTCTGGTTACGAGGATCAAGGATATTCGGGCGGTAGTAGTAGTCCGGTGCATTACGTTAGTCGATCCTCTTCTTATTCTTCTACGAAAAATTCTCAGTATTGGGGAGGATATCCCTCATCGTCTCCCCAGCAGACGATACGATGTGAAGAAAACGGTAAATCGTACCTGGAACTGGGTCCGAGCCCAGCAAGTGCGCGAAATAGGACGCCTAGTTCTTTAGATAAGTGCTGTGACGCAGAGAGGACTAGTTGGTGCAAACGCGCACCTGAAACCTCATGTTACCGCCAAAGGCGACTCGCTGTCTTTAATCTTTCTATGTGTAAGCTAGGACGATATAGACAATTCACAGACCCTAGTCTGTTAAAATCAGTGCTTATATGTAACACTTTAAGATACATAGAACGAGAAATGGAACAGGAAGGTTGTTTTTACGGTGGTTTACCCGGGCATGCAACTTGCGCGTCACCGCCACCCTTACCTCCAACTCCTTCACCTGCCGAAGTCGATCCGACTTTTCCTCCGCCTCAGTTCCTCGAAGTGCCTGACATCACTCCTTCTGCTTCTTCCTACAGAGCGGGTCCCGAATTTTACGAACAATCGGGTCGGGCGACGCCGTTTCCCCTTGCAAATCAGTGTTGCGATTCGGATTCGGGCGTGGGAGACGAAGACAATGCTAAAAGTATTAACTGGGGTTCGGTGCTAAGTTTGTCCAGTCAATCGGATTTGGATCCGATGAACAACAACGAACTATTTTCGGATTCATCGACGACTCAAGATTTGGTTCACGAATTCGACGATTTTCTACCCACGTGGAAATTGACTCCCGTGAGCGCGGACGAAGTACTCAAATCTGCAACGTCAGATACATCTCCATCTCTGTCACCTTGTCAAATTCAGGGACAAGAAATGGAACTCATGCAGGTACTAGTGAGTTCATAGCAGTTTACGGAAGAAATTGACACGCTCAGGTTGTGAGGGTAATTCACCCATTGTGTTCTCTATTCCTTTTCTTCCGCGTGACCCGTCCTTTTTATTATTTCTCTCTCTCACTCTCTCTCTCTCTCTCTCTCTGTCGAATAATATGAAATTAAATTAAAAACGGTTTTTTTTTTTTTTTTTATATTAATGGAGTGAGAAGAAAGAGTAAAAATTTTAAAATGTAATTCGCTAATTAAGCGAAAATTTTTAAAAAATTATGTCAATTGAAGAAAAAGCGCGTAAATGTTATGTGTTGTTGTTGTTGTACGCACGATGTGAAAACGATTTACCGGAAACACTTTCATTTATTATTCCGGAAATAGTAGTTTATTTCATCTATGAAATATATATATATATATAAAACTGAAATTACGTTTTCGGTTTTTTCTTTCGGACTGTATTATTTATAACGATCAATTTTTTTTTTATTAAAAAAAAAAAAAAAAGCAGTAGACACAGAAAAAAAAAACAATAATTATTATCAACCGGTAAATGCAAGGTAAATCGTTTTCATTTTCGATTTCACAACGAATAATTTATTTATTTATATTTTTTTAAAAACAAAAAAAAAAAAAAAAGAAAAAAAAAAGAAAAAAAGAAAGAAAATTTAATTTTTTTTAAAACTTGTAACCTAATCAAGTGTATATGATTTTGTTTTAACTCGCGTTAATAAATATGAATCATTTTGGCACAAAACCTGCGCAAAATTTTAATTGGAAATTTTAGTTTTACCCGTTAGGAAAAGGATAGAAAATGATTGATTTACTTTTTACAATATATAAAAAATTTTTATTAATTAATTAAAGTCGAAATTTTAAATTTAAATCGGCCCCCCTCGTTTTTTTTTTTTTTTTTTTTTTTTTTACATAATGTTGTGCAATTCGATTATTTATTTTAATTTTTTAAATAATTCTTGATAACTATTTTGAATATGAATAATGTCGGAACAAAAAAAAACAAAAACTATTATTATTATTATTATTATTATTATTATTATTATTACGGGTTCAACAATAAAAAAAAAAAAAAATTAAATATTTTATTTAATTGACTGTGGTGATCTTAATTGTATTGACGACGATTCGAGGAAAAATAATAATCATAAGATAAAGATGAGGGAGGAAAAAGTAGGAAGAGGAGGGAAGGGGGAAGAATGGAGGGGAGGGGAGGGAAGGGAAGGGAAAGAAAAATTGTTTTAAAGGAGTATAATGGAGATGAGGTTTAAGGGAAATAAATAAATAAATAAGTAATTGGTGCTTAAATACATAAAATAAAATAAAATAAATTTCCTCAATCACGAATTACTGCTACTATTACTACTATTATTATTATTATTATTATTATTATTATTATTATTATTATTATTATTATTATATTTTGTAGTTTTTCAGGCACTTACTACGATTAGTTTTTCCGAATTTTTATTTTATTTTATTTTATTTAAATAACGATTTTATCCATCGAGTTTTTAATTTTAATTTTTTTTTTTTTTTATCATCAAAAATTTTTCATTTTAATTGTCGACTGTGCCATTTTTACTTATATTATTATTAATAATAATAATAATGATAATAATAAATAAATAAATAAATATATTATTATTTCCTCCCTCGTTTAAAAGAAAAAAAATAATAAAATAAAAATAAATATCCATACGTACCTGTGCCTAATATTTTTTTTTATTTTTTTATTTTTAAAAAAGAGTTTTAATTCGTACTTAATAATAATAATAATAATAATAATAATAGTAATAATAATAATGAAAATTTATACAAAGTAATAATAGTAATAATAATAATAATGATAAGATTTTCCTTTTTTCCCCTCAACAAAAAATAAACAAATACATAAATTATTTCAATGTAAAGTTTTTATTAATGAAAATTTAAATTTTTTTTTCTTTTTTCTTTTTCTTTTCTTTTTTTTTTTTTTTTTTTTTAAAAAAAATATTTGTATTATATTTGTAGATAATATATAGTTATAATTAAGTAAATATATTATAAAAATAAAAAAGCAAAAAAAAAAAAAAAAAAATTATTAAAAATAAAAATAAGAAAAAAAAAAAAAAAGGATGGATTGATGAAGATTGTTTTAAAAAAGAAAAAATTAAAAAAACGAAAAATTTATAAGATTATTATTATTATTATTATTATTATTATATTAATTCGAAAATAAAATATTAAAAAAAAAAAAAAATTGTATAAAAATTTTTTTTATTTTTGTGAAAAAAAAAAAAAAAAAAAAAAACGTGTATAAATGTTCGGGTTAATTTTTTTTTTCTTTCTCCCCCTTTTTTTTTTTTTTATTTTTTTTTAATGAATGAAAACAAAACAAAAATGGAAAGAAAAGGAAAGTAAAAGGAAAGAATGAAAAAAAAAAAAAAAAAAAAGAAATTTGAATAAAAATAATTAAAATAATAAAATAAATCCATATATATATATATATTGTACAGAGATTTATTATTATTATTATTATTATTATTATTTATGTTTAATAAGTGGGGGGGGGGCATAACAATTTGATTTTTTTTTTTTGTTTTTTTAAAAAAAAACATGTCAATTATAATAAGGGAAAAGTTTTTTTTTTTTACAAATAAATGTTACCCTAATAAATAAATGAAAAAGAAAATGGCGGATTAGTTTTTTTTTTTTTTAAATATAATGTATGACAAAAAAAATTAAATAAATTTGACAGATAGCATAATAAAAAAAAAAATAATACTTTAAAATAAGTTTAAATAAAAAAATTGTTATGCCCCTTAAATTGAAAAATTATTATTTTTTATTATTATTATCAAAAAAAAAAAAAAATAGAAAATAGAAAAAAAAAAGAGAAAAAAAATATGAATGTGCTGTGATACTGTCTTGTACAATTAAAAAAAAATAATGAATGTAAAATTAAATAAATAAATAAAAAAAAAAAAAAAAACAAAAATAAAAGAAGAAGAAGAAAATGGATTATCTACTGCTCCTGCTGCCGCTGCTGCTGTTGATGCTGCTGCTGCTGCTGCCATTGCTCCTGCTCTGTGAAAAGAAAAAATTTTATTTTATTTTTTGTATTTTTTTTCTCACGGTTTTTTTTTTTTTTTTATTGTTCAGTTTTATATATATATATAAATAAAAATTAAACAAAATGAATGAAAGAAAGAATGAAAAAAGGAAAGAAATAAAAACGTTTATAAAATAATAAAAATATTGCAATAATAATAATAATTACACGTGTTGTAAACATTTTAAATTAAAGAGAAACAAAAAATTTATAAAAATATTAAATTGATATTTAAAAATAAAAAAACAAAAAAAAAAAATAATAAAAAGAATAATAATAATAATAAAAATATAAAAAAAAAAAAAAGTTAAATAAATAATTATAGAAAAAAAATATATATATATTCAATTGTTTATTTTTTATTCATATTGTTTTTCATTTTCTCATCATATCGTCTATGACTTTTTTGTTTATCCTTTTTTTCCCTCCATTTTCTTTTGCCACGACAGAAATTAAAAACAATAACATTAAAATAACTCACGTGATACGCCGCCATATTTGATTATTTCGGTGTAGTGTCATGTTTATAAATTTTCATTTGTTTTATTTTTTTTTTTTTTTTTAAATTCTAATTAAATTTGAATTATTTTTTTAAATTTATCTTTTTGGGAAAATGATTTTTTCAAGATTTTAATTAATTATAAAAATGGTATGTATGATAATAATAATTATAAAAAAGAAATTAAAATTTATTATAAATCCATAATGAAGGAAAAACTTTGAGTAATTTTTTTTTTTTTTTTTTTTTTCATTTATTTATTTGTTAGAGTTTATTATAAAATATTTATATTATTTAAAAAAAAGAAAAGAAAAGAAAAGATTGTTCTTATGCAAAAATTTATTTAATTTGATGTGACCGTTAGTGTGTAAGAGAAAGTTTTTTCGTGTACCCGACGATAATTACGGTTATTTAAAGAAAGTTAGATGGCAGCACATGTCGGTTATGTTATTCGATTCGTTAAAATAATACGTAGTTGTATTGAAAATAGGGTGAAATTTTTTTTTTTTTTTAAATTCTATATTTATATACATATTCATACGCGTTAATTCAATGTTTTAAAAAAATTATTATTTAAAAAAAATTTTTTTTTATTTGCGTGCTTTACCCCCCCCCCCACCCCCGCTTCCCTCCCGTTTTTCGTTAATAAACATATTTTTGATTTTATTGTAATAGAATTCATACCGATTTGAATCGTAATGTGTTTAAAAACGTATTTTAAAATGGAAAAGGTTTTTTTTTTTTTTTGTTTTTTTAAATAAAAGAAATAAGTAAACTTAATATTTTATATTCGATTACGTATTTGAAATGTGACGTAAAAATTAAAAATTAATGGAAGTAATAATCATCATTTAGAAAGAGAATTCTTTTAATACTTTTGTAATTATTATTATTTTGCTTATTAAATGCAGATTTATTTTTAATATTTTCTACATTTTCGGGGGGAGGGGAAATAATAAGAAACTTTTATTTAACTTTTATTTCAAATTCATTTTTGACAACTCGTTTTATTTTGGCGGTTTTATTTTTAAGATCCTCCATTTTGATTTGAGGCAACGTGACGAATTTTGCAGAACAAAATCATATGCCTGACAAATTGTTAAAACAAAATGGTAAATATCATCATAAGTCTTATCAAATCATTTGTTTTATTTATTTATTTAACGAAAATATATATATTTATTAATTTAAGATGTTTTTTTTTTTTTTGTTATTAACAGGCTTCGTACAGTGAAGATCAATTAGCTGGTAAGTTTATTATTATTTTATTTAAAATTAAGGTCAGATATACCTTACAATATGACTCAATTTGCACATGACACGCCCAAAGTTAAACTAACTTCACCATATTAGGGAAAATTTTTAAAAGGATTAGGGACGTACATAACGAGCTAATTTAATGTTACCTTTAAGCGTAAATTAGTTTTTAACAATCTTTTTTGTGAATCCGTTGTGAAACGTTTTGTTATTTTTCCTTGTTGTTATATTTTGTCTTTTCCTTTTGTTTTTTTTTTAAAATAATAAAATGTATGGATATGAACCTAATAGGAAAATTTTGTCTACAATGGAAGGTGAAATCCATAAAAATTTTGTTTTCTTTTTTTTTTTTTGTTTCTTTACTTTTGGGTGAAACTATTTACATTTATAAAATATATTTTAGAAAGTGTTTTTCAATTTAAATATTATTCATAGAGTTTCAGGAAGCTTTCCAATTATTTGACAGCAGAGGAGATGGAAAAATTCATATATCACAAATAGGGGATGTTCTTAGAGCTTTGGGACAAAACCCTATCGAATCAGAAGTTAAAAAATTTACCAAACAGCATAAAGCAGGTATGATTCTTTTTCGTTTTTGTCCATTATCCAAATTTTGTATTAATTAATAATAATTTATATTTTTAAAAAATATTTTTATTATTTATTTTATGATTTATATCTTAAAAATTTTTGTATTTTTTTTTTTTAAAGATGAGAGAATAAGTTTTGAAGTTTTTTTGCCAATTTATCAGACGATATCTAAGAGTAGGACCAGCGACACAGCAGATGATTTTATCGAAGGTTTGCGTCATTTCGATAAAGATGGAAATGGTTTTATATCATCTGCAGAATTAAGGCACTTGCTTACCACCTTAGGTACTTTAATTACTATTTGTTTTTTTTTTTTTTTTTTTTTGCAAAATTTTTATTTAGTATTGTATTTCTTTTTGTGTAAATTAAGTTTTTCCATAAAAGTAAAAGAAATGAAGTATTTTTTAAAAGAATTTGAGACATACTGTTGACAAAACACTTGTGTTTACTTTTTGACGATTATTTGAATTGTTTATTTTTGCGTTAATATTCCTTAAAATTTGATTTTATTAAGTTGTCGAGAAATGAATGAATGAATTATTTAGTTTTCTAATTTTTTATATTCATTTTTGAGTGAAATTTTTTCTGAAATTTTTGTTTGTTGTAGGAGAAAAATTGACAGATGAGGAAGTAGAACAGGTACTGTCAGGTCAGGAAGATTCTCAAGGGAACATAAATTATGAAGAATTTGTTCGTTTGGTCATGACAGGTTAATTCATATTATTAGTAAATTATTCCCGAAAAAAAAATGATCAATTATTAATCTTACATAAATAAAATTTTAATAAATTTTTTTTTATTATTAATCATTCCTAATTTTTAATTTGATTTTTATTAAATATTTTTTTTTTTTTTTTTTTTTTTAAAAATAGAATTTAAGTGAAATTGTTTGAATATTATTTTATTTATTTATTTTATTTCTAATAATGATTCAATAAATTGAACGAGATGCCTTCAAAAAAAAATTTTTTTTTACATATTTTAAATATTATAGTGTAATTTATTTAAATAAAAGCATTTAAACTAATACTAAATATTGTAAAAATAATACTAATAATTTTAGTTTTGTTTTTTTTTTTTACTAAAATTATTTTTATTATTTGTTTCCTTTTATTCGAGAAACAAAAAAAAAAAAAAAAAGGATTAATTAATTTGTCTTAAAGGAAGTCTTAGTTACTAGTGTCTAATATTTCTTTGTGTGATTTTCTTTGGTTTTGAAGCGCATTGAAAGTTCATTTTTTTAAGGGGAATCCCCGTTGGACCATCTGTTATTTCACATATGTTGATGCCTAATTTAGAAAATGGATGACAACGAGTTTTTTGATTTCCCCATTTTCCTCTATATTTTAACCAGTTACGCTGAGTGTAAGAATGAGATTTAAGAAGTTTTAAATTTTCCCACGTTTTCCAAGGGACGCCGAATCCGCTGTCGTCGTAGAGACGTGGAATTCGTACAAATCGATGCCTACCAGGACCCGTCCACAATCCGTGGGAACCTTTTGCCGAAAACAAAACAGGTCTTTGATCCGGAGCCATCAGTCTCATGATTGGAGGAAACATAGGACGTTGTAAAATACCTTTACGAATTTCTCTTTTTTCAAACTTGAAATGATTATATGTTTTAGAATACGTGTAAAAGGCACCGACATCATGTGTCGATACGTACATTTTTTTTGGAAATTCAGAACCCTGAAACGTTTAAAGATAAACTTATCTTAGCGTTTTATTCTTAAAAGGTGTGCCAACATCAAAAAAAAAAAAAAATAATAATAATTTACTTCAAAATATAAACTTATGTGTTCCCAATCTCCAACGTGATTTCCAAATACTTTTATATCACCCAAACAAATGTCGTTAACCCTAGGTATAGGCCAGGCACCAAAACGTCCCATATTAAACGTACATATGGCTTTTCCTTGACTAAAAGGATAAAACATCCAATAGGTTACGTGAAAATTTATATTTGAATTTTTCTTAATTTTTTCATTTTTTGTTAAATTATTATTAAAATTAAAAAAATTTTTTTGAGTTGGTTGACAGACTTCAATCAAAGCGTAAACAGGTACGGAATATTTTTGAGGATTTCGCCCGTATATAAACGAAGATGAATTCCTTAGGAGAGAATCTGTGGAAAATAATAATGATGATAATTCTCTCATCTTTTGTTTTGAATTATATTATATAAAAATTCAGAAAAAATAAAAAAATAAAAGCTAACCAACGTCTTCTGTTGTTGTCAAAAACCAAGTTTCTGATAAGTGACCTTTTGGAAGGTCATCGACAGCAATTTCTCTCGATTCTGGATAAGGATTTTCATACACGCTACTTCCCTGATATTTTTCAGGTATTGCAATTATGTGATCTAAAAATTCAGTGACGCTACTGGGAAAAAATTGTTCTCCAGGTGCTAAAAAAACTAAAGGAGCCCATCTTCGAACTAAATTTTCAACTGAAAAAAAAATAAAAAATGAATTTTTCATACAAAAACAAAATATTTTGTTTTCTTTGATTTGTTGGAATCAAAATGAATATTTAAAAAGAAAGTAAAAAAAAAAAATTTTTTTTTTTTTTTTTTTAAAAAGTTACAACAAACAAAATTCCAGTTGGCAAATATTCAATCGATAATATAATAAAACTTCCTTTTTACGTGCGTAAACAAACAGAAAATTTCACTTTAAAATCATTTCCGGTAAATTTAACGAGAAACTTTTAATTTTTTTATATATATATATATATATTTATTACATAACAAAATCAAAAGAAAAAAAAAAAAAAAAAACGTTTCCATTCGTGTTTTTGTGCAGTTTTGTGCAAACGGAATAAAAAAAAAAAGTTCGTTACATAATTTAAAAAAAAATTTGCAATGAGGAAATAATAATAAATTTCTTACTCTTTTAATTACCGTTAATAATTATTATTATTTTAAAAGTATTATTTTTCTTTTTCTTTTTTTTTTAGTAGATTATAATTTAATTCGTTAAAATCCGAAAAAAAAAAATCATTAAATTAAATAAAATCATGATCGATTTATAATAACGCGTCATTGTTTTGTTTTTCGTCAGGTTTGCCAACGTAAAACCGCCGGCAACGGTTGATGAAATCGTTTCGAAACAAAAATTTTGTGTTTTTTTTTTTTTGTAACCGTAATTTTATCTTAATAAAAATAATAAGTTAATAATTTTTATGTAGTTTACTTAAATAAATAAATAAAAAAAAAACTGATTTCTCTTAAAAACTGTGTGTGTGTGTGTGTGAAATCAGTTGAGTTGATTTTGTGGTCATGTAACTTTTTTACTAACGGCAAATATATATTCATATAAATGAAAGTGTCAACATATTATTTTCACTTTTGTCATAATAAATTAATAATTGTTTTTACTTTAAAAAAAAAAAAAAAAATTTACTCTGTCACAGATTAATATGATTTCTTCAACTTGTTAATTTTCACTTTTAATTACTTTTCTTTTCTTTTTTTAAAAGGGAAAAATTTAAAATTTAATTAAATGATCATGAGAAGGAGAGTATGTGGATGTAAAAATTAATGGATGCATCAGGTTAAAAATAATAATAAAAAGCTTTTAAGTTATTATTTAACTCATTTAAAAGTAATTTTTTAATTGATACCTAATCAAGGTATCAGAAGGTATTAGTTATAACTGATTGAAACATAAAATAAATAAAATTTTGTATCATTTGAATAGAATTTATCTTTTTTGGTTTTTGATTCTTGTAAAAAAAACAATTTGAAGAGTTTTGTTAAAAGTTAACATTGGTAAGTGGGAGAAAAATAAAATAATTTACATTTATGTGTAACTAATTAAACAAATTTAAATTTCAGATAAAAAATTATTGAAAATTACTCACTCTTATCATGAACTCCTTCGCGCAGTTGACCACCATAATCATCATCATCATCATCATCATCGTTTCCAAAAGCATATATTTGTATAAAAATAGATGTAGTTAATAAAAAATAATATAACTTGCATAATACAAGCATTATCCACACCTTGAAATCTATCCATTCTATGCTTGCGCAAACATTTTTTTATTAACGACCGTATTATTATAGGTGAAAGCCAATTTTTGTTGTTGTTGTTGTTGTTCAAGAGGCCGGTTGTTGATGATTGTCCGACCAACCGACCGTCCGACCAACGTCGTCGACGAAAGTCACTAATATAATCTCAATTCAATATTCAAACGTATAATAATAATAATAATAATAATTCTAGAAACCTACTTGAATGTTATCTCATAAGGTCTCCCCACTTTATATTTTGATTCGGGCTCCCCACTAGCCATTCTTCATATTTTGTTCTACTAATATATTTGCTAGATTGATATAACTGGATTTGTAGTTTTGCTAGTTGATATCACTGGTGACCCAAGATCAGAAAAAGGGAAAATGAAAATTTTCTTTTATTTTTTTTATAATGATAATAAAATAATTAAATTAAAAAAAAAGAAAAGAAAAGTATAATAATTAAATTAAAATAAGAGAGAGAGAGAGAAAACAAAAATTTAAAAAAAAAAACTTTCAAAATGGTGGTGGTGGTGGTGGTGGTGATGTTGTCAAATTTTTTTGCTTTTTTATCAATTTTTATCATAATTTAAAATATTTTTCTTAAACTTTAAACTATATGTATATTAAAACAGTTTGGTATAAGTTGTTAGGGGGGGTTGGGGGGTGGGGGTTGGGGGAAACCGATAGAGAGAGAGAGAGAGAGAGAGAGAGTGAATTGTTATGTATCATACTTGTCAAACATAATATAAAAATTTAGAATAAAAAATTTTTTTTCACAACAATTTAATTTAAAAACATGTGAAAGCTTTTTTGTTTTTGCCTTTTTTTAGTTTTTTTTTTTTTTTTTTTTTTTTTTTTTTAAATTTTTAGTTTATCCTTTTAAAATAAAAATAAAAATAATAATAAAAAAATAATTTTTGAATACAAATTTTTTTTTTTTTTTTTTTTTTTTTCACTCTTTCTAAATTTGTCGTGATTACTTAATAAATTTGTCAAAATTTTTAATTATAAATAAATAAAATCAAAATGGTAAGATTTTATAATAATAATAATAATAATAATTTTTTTTTAATTTAAACATTTATTTATTTAATTAATTAAATATTTTGAATAAAAAAAAAAAAAAAAAAAAAAAAATTTGTAGAGGGAATGCGTTTGTGTACATGTCGGCCAAGCTGGCATACAAATGGGTAATACAATGTGGGAACTTTTTTGCATCGAACATGGTATAAGTCCTGATGGATTCGTTATGAAAAATAGAGAAAATTGTAAAAATCTTTTAGGAGATTCCGCTCAAACATTTTTTTCACAAGCAGAAGAAAAGATGATACCCAGGTTGGTAATGGTTGACTTGGAACCAACGGTTTTAGGTATGATTTTTATTATAATTGAATTATCAAATATTATTATAAAAACTTTTTAACGGTTTTTTTTTTTTTTTTTTTTTAAATTTTTGTTTCTGAAATTTATATTTAAATGTTTATTTAAAAAATAATAATAATAATAATTAACGTTATTTTTTTTTTTTTAGATAGCGTCAGAGCGGGAAAATATCGATCGCTTTATCATCCTGATCAATTAATTTCCGGTAAAGAAGATGCTTGTAGTAATTTTGCAAGAGGACATGACACCGTTGGAAAAGAAATGTTGGATGCTGCTTTTGGTGGTATAAAAAAAATAGCTGAAAATTGTGAAGGATTACAAGGATTTATGATGTTTCATTCATGCGGGGGAGGAACGGGTTCCGGTTTTGCATCTTTGCTCATGGAAAAAATCGTTACGGAATTTTCAAAAAAAAGTCATTTGGAATATGTCGTGTATCCGGCACCGCAATTTTCCAGTTCCGTCGTCGAACCTTATAATTCTGTTTTATCATTACATAGCACACTTCAATCCGATTATTCCGATTGTACGTTCATGATTGATAACGAAGCACTTTACGACATTTGTCAGAAAAAATTATGCATTGAAAGGCCGACATTTTCAACCCTTAATAGAATGTTGGCTCAAGTTGTGTCTTCGATAACAGCCTCACTAAGATTTACAGGAATGCTTAACGTCGATTTATCCGAATATCAAGTTAATCTTGTACCGTTTCCTCGACTTCATTTTCCTTTGACAACTTATGCACCCATCACGAATCAAACAAAGGTAAAGAATGTCGGGGAGGAAGAATGATAGATATGTCCTTTTTGCATTAACATCAAACCTTCTTTTCTTTTCTCTTCCAGGTTTTTCACGAACAATTATCCATTCACGACATAACATGCGAATGTTTTGAAAATTCAAATCAATTGGTGAAATGTAATATAAAAAATGGAACGTTTATCGCATGTTGTCTTCTTTACAGAGGAGATATCGTATCGAATGATATTAAATCCGCAATAAGAAGTATTCGAAATAGGAAAACCGTTGATTTTGTCGAATGGTGTCCAACAGGATTTAAAGTAATCGTTACAATTTGAATTTAATAATAATAATAATAATGTTTCTCATTAAATATGAATTTGTTTTTTGTGTGTGATAAGGTCGGAATAAATTTTCAACCCCCAAGTAAATTTCCACATGATGAAATGGCAAGAATTCAAAGGGCTGTTTGCATGCTTGCTAATACGACAGCAATAACGGAACCTTGGGAAAAATTAGGGAAAAAATTTGATTTGATGTTTAATAAAAAAGCTTTTATTCACTGGTATTAATCAATTAATTTTATGTATTTTGTAAAGCCACAATATGAAATTATTATTATTATTAATAATATATATATATTTTTTTTAATAAGGTATTTAAATGAAGGAATGGAAGAAGAACATTTTCTTGAATCTAGAACAAATTTTGAAATGTTACAAATAGATTATAAAGAAGTTCAAAAAGACATGCATCCATTTTTAAATGCACAATCACCAGAAGTTTAAAAAGGCATTTTTTTATTTATTTATTTTAATAAATTTTATTTATATTATTTATTTCGAAATTTATTAGTTTTTAAGAATGATCACGAAATTATTTAAAATAAGTTTTTTTTTTTTGTTGTCATTTTAAAATTTCATTAAATTATTTAATTATGTGAGAAAATATAGAATTTTTTTTTTTTTCCTATGTTGTAAAAACAATAAATTTAATTATTAATTCATTACACGTAAAATTACATTTTTAAATAATTAAAATAACAAACCCTCTATTTTTTCGTGATCATTTTTGTATTATTAAAGAATAACCTTCGATTATTTTAATAAATTAATAATTTATTAATTTTTTTTTTTTTTTTTTAGGGGAGCCTTTTTTTTCACAGAAACAAACAAACAAACAAACTGACACTGACACAAATCATTTATTGGATATGAAATGTATGAGTTTTTTTTTTTTAATGTATGAGTTTTTTTTTTTTTTTTTTTTTCACTAACTGGACATTGATATTACTGGAGAGAATTATCAATCAGTCATTTATTTATATATATATATATATACGAATTGTTTTTCATGTTAATCCGTACAAAAAAGTATAAAGTAAAATATGAATAAAAATACGATGGAAAAATAAAGAAAAGAAGAAAAAAAAAAAAAGGTAAAATTTATCAAAAATCAATTCAAAAAAAAAAAAAAAAAAAATTTCATTATTCTTCTCGAAATAAAAAATATTTATATACGAAAATAAAAGTTAATAATATATATATATATATTTTTTATAAAATTACTTTTATAAAGTAATTTTAAAACTTGTAAATTTTTCTTTTCTTTTATTTTTTTTCTCTCTCTATCTCTCTCTCTCAAAATTTTCTTCTCTTTTTTAATTAAACTAATTTTTATATAATTAACCTTTTTAAAATGTTTTATTTTTTAAATTTTAATTCATAACAAAATTTTTTGCCTTTTTTGGTATATGTTGACATTTAATTTTTTTTTAACTAATTTTCCTTGTGTGTTTCTTTCTCACTAGTTTTACACAAATGTTTGTTGTAGTTTTTATTTTAGTTTAAATTGTTACAATTTCAAAATGTTTAATTATTTTCCAAAGCTGATCTCTTGATTTTATCGGAATCTGCTTATAATAATATTTATAACTGGCAGTATTCGAATTCATGCCCACAAAATGTTTTCAAATATGTATAACGAAACAACCAATTTTTTCAAATGATTAGAATTAGTTTTTAAGTATTTATGGTTCATTAGTTTTGTAAAACATGAGAATATTCATTTTTTTAAAACACAAAAACTATTAATATTAATTTATGACTTTTTCCAATGTGTCCTTTTTTTTATATTCTAAGATTGTTATTCGGTAATGTTAAGTTTCAGCAATTAAATTGTTAATTTTTGTCTTTATTGAATCTATTTATTGAATTTTTTTGTAATGAATAATATTTTTAATTGTAGTTGACTTTGATTTCAAGGTTTACGAATAAATATTGATCCATTGTATTTGTAAAAACAAAATTTTTTGTAATGTGGGTGGTACTCGTTAAAAAAAATTCATTTAATTTTTTTTTCTCTCTTCAAAAATATAAATGTCGATTAAAAACTTTTTCTTGTAAAATTATTTAAAAATTATTTTTAAAAAAAATGAAGGTACATTACAATTGGTCCTTTTTTTTGTTTTATCAAATTTTCTTACGAGTTATTAAATGAATCAGATATGGTGTCTTATTTAAAGGTGACTTCTTGAATGTTGCACAATATGAATGATGGTCAAAGAGTTTTTCTGATAGTATTTTGAATTAAAACTATGCCAAGATTATTTTGTTGTGTGTCCTATATATACAGTCTGCAATAAAAAATATTTTTAATGTTTGTTTGTACTAGTTGCAGCAAAAAACCTTCACACTTTAAACACTAATAAAAGTAAATCTAGGATTTTATACATAAAGATACTTATGCTTTTAAACTATTTTGTCTTCCACTTGGATTTTATTATACATATATGTGTAGAGATCCTAAAAATAATTATAGAGATATTATTAAGTTTTATTCAATAACAGAATTTTAATTGAATTAAAACTATAGTCTCAAACTAATATAATTGTGCAAAGCCAAATTATTATTTAGAAACCAATTTTTAAATTAGATAACATAATATATACTGTTTATAAATTAAACGAAACAAGGTCAATTTTTATAAAAATACCGTATAAATATAACCTTCATTTTAATTTTAATATGAAAAAAATTTTCAGGGGTAAAAAAAAAAACGTAAACTTCTTTTTTTCATTTGATTCAAAGAGCAGGTGTCGTTAAAGCCAGTTCGACTATAAATATTGCCCGCAAAACAGTTTTTACCGTGTTAGATACATTTCATGATAAAACAGTATATATCGATCTATCGATTATCGTGTCACGAATTTTCGAGAATCGATATTTTTCATTAACGGACGCTACCATTCGAAATTGTTTCAAGTTATATTTTAAAAGGTAGAAAAAATTTAAATTAAGATAAAAATTAAAAGTTTTTTTTAATAAAAGCGTTATTAATTAATGAGTTTGAAAAATTCTGTGATAGGATAAATAAGTTTTATGAGAGAAATATTTTACTTAAAGTAATTTATTTAAGTTTAAAAATTGAAATGTAATGTGGTTTATGTGAAGAAGAAGAGCAAAAAAATTACAATAGAATAAATTTGTATAAATTTTGTAAAACAAAAAAAAAAAAACTTGTTAAATTTTATTATTATTATTACTGTGATTTGGTAAATTTAAATAAGTAACAAATAACAAAACAGGTAACAAATATTTTTTTACACAAATTATGTGTATATATATATGTATGCATTCATAACTTATTGCAAATTTAATTAAATTTTTTTTTTTTTTTTTTAATTCATTAAAATTTTATAATTTATTTAATTTTTTCTTTTACATTTCTTATAACAGAATGCATATATATATAAGTACACATAATTTTTTTAAATTGGTATTTATAATTTTATATTAAAAAAGTAATTAATTAATTTTTTTTACACTTGACAATTATTATATATTTGTTGATATATTTTTAAGCATGTATTTTAACACTTTTTATACTAATTTTTGTATATTTTAGGTCTTTTTAATGATTCTAACATAATTTCTTCTTTAAATTATACTTCAATAATGTTAATAGTATGGCTTCCAGTGTGTACACAAATGCAAGAATTACATCAGCATTCATTTCTCACATTCTGACAGTTTTAATCTTTAATTTTTTTGTTTTTTAGCCTTTTTATCCTTTTCTACAAGTAGTGTTTTATACAACAGCATCAACTACTTTCATTCTTCATCAGAATATCAGATTATGACATCAGGTTTATTAAGGTA